GGGATTTGGTTATACGCTTTAACTAAGTTGATTTTCGCAAACACAGTTGTACCTTACAAGGTAGCTGTCGAATCGTGAATGTGAGGCAACGGCCAACGAACTGGAATGGTTTTTGTACCCAATCGCCGATAGTAACCAGTTGGACGCCGATCGTTGCTGTCCTTTTTAAGGATCATGTGCAACGGAGATTCCCACGGGCTGTTTGACATTCTTATGATCCCTAAGTCTATCATGTGGTCGAATTAGTTTTTCTCCAACCTCAGTTTTCCAGGGGCTATTTGGCATGTTTTAGACAATACAGGTAATGTGTAACATTTCTGGTTACACACGGCAATTTCGGTTGCGGTTCGTACGTTCCAGAATACCTATCGAGTAGTGGTTGATAAAGTGGGTCTATCGTGTGCTTAATTGTGACTGGAACCGGAAAAAGAAATTAGTGTTTCCGTCTACTAGCCTCCGTTTGCGCGTATCGATTATTAAAGTGTGGTGTTATAGGAGGTCTATACCAATGACTGACATAGAAACATCTGAAACAACAAAAATCCAGTGAATGGGTTTACGTAAACCCCTATTGAGGTAAACGTACCTTTTACCATATATGGCGATAGGCTTACCGTTTGCCGCCTGTAAGTTTAAAACTGATTCATGAAGCCGGTCGTTAGAATTTGCTGGAAGAACACTAAGTTCTGCGCCAGTAGCGATGAGATAGTGAGCTTTCGTTATCACATCTGTGGAGTACAACAGATGGCGATATTCGCCGGCTACAGTTGCCGTTAACGCTTGACGGCTAGAAAGTTCCTCGAATTTTTTCGCGTCGGTTCATCTTGAGTTCAGAAAATTGCAGGGTTCTATGTAATTTCTGGAAGAATTTTCATATTGGTTATGATATCAAAACCGGTTGGGGTTACCCGTCTTTCTTGGTCTATAAACAGATCACCTACGTAAGGTGCTTCTTCACGGGGTGTGTGACCGTTTCCGGTCAAGAGTTGGAGAGAAAAACAGAGTCCGACTGATATCTTGATGTAAGACTGGACGAACAAAAAACCTCTGTATTTTTACTGGTAACTGAAGAAGGATTATGGTAAATAATAGTGATGCGCTATTCATTTCATACTTTGGTGCCTTCTTCCAGTGACATTTTGCATCCCAGAAGGCCTTAATGTTTATTTCCAGAACAACAGGTACCCTGATTTAAAAACAGTTTGAAACTTTTTATAGTTTATTTTGGATCGCATCTAAAAGAAGCTCTCAAATTATGTTCCCTTACTCTAAAAAGAATACTGTCCTCTTGGAATGTGTCCGAAGACAAGCAACTTAAAAGGTACTCAAACTACGACATAAACCCTATTGGACTCACCTGGAAACTCTAAACTTGCAATTCGCACAATAGAGAATTGTAGGAGGAGATATGACCTCTTTTTATAATACCGCTTATAAACCCGTTGAATTATTCATCTTGGTACTAAAATGAACATAATTGGGTATCTTTTTATGATAGAAGAATAAGTTGTATGAAAATCCCTTCAAACATCTCCTTGGTGAGAATCATAGGATCGTGAAAACTCTTACCAGAGGCTATAATAATGCTATCTTCTAAAGAATCTCTTAAAAGAATTTCAGAGGTTAACTTAAGTTCCATATGTATAGAAAATGATCACATCAAATGTTAGTACATGATCTCTTCTACCGATCACACTTAAGAAAGAACATATAGAGAGCAATTACTCTCAGTTGTTGAAAAAAGTCTTCTACAACCAAGTTGCAGAACCTAAGTAACAATAATAATAATAATTTCCGCAACAATGTTTAGCTTTTGAGTTTTAAGCGCGCGTTTTATGAATTGGTAGGACACTGAAGGTAAGACAAACTGGTCGTTTGAATCGCTTCATTACACATTAGCCTCTGACTTATCCGTGTTCATTACAAAAGTGTGTAAGTTTAGGATTTTCTGGTTTTCATGGGGTGGCTCACTGTTGCGAGAGTCCAGTTTCCTGGATTTTTTTGTTATCCAAACGTGTTAATTCCATAAAATTAAGGGGTCACTTAACAAAATCAAGGTTCTTAAGCGTGGAGCGCAATAGGAAAATATTGTTCGGATGTGAAGGAAGCCTATCTCTAAGTTCGATCACACTGACCTAAATGTTGCTTTATTGATTCCTGTTATGTGGTCCTAAATGTATATACATTTAAGATTACGTAACGAGAATATATTTATTAGATTGTTTATAAATGCTAAAGATGATGTGACATGATGTTTCTATTACACAAAATTTGGTGTGGATTGTAACTCATGCTATACACTTGGGAGTTATTCGGTTTTGAATTACAGCCCGGCTTGTATGGGATTTAAAAATATCTTGTACTCTAACTAGCGCACCTACTACCTTTTCAACAACTAATGTACATGTTAATTATCATTGTGGTTACACTAATTTTAACAGTAAATTTGGGTAATGTCATTAAGCGTTAGATAGTTGCCGGAAATCGTGTGACTTGTTCCATATATTTAATTAAATAATTGACAACCGTAGTGCCTTTTGAAAAGAATTCGCGTTTCTTGTGTCTTCCATGTGCATGGTGTGCAGTTGACAATGTTAGGGACTGGGTTATAGGAAGAGATGCTAGTACACTTCATTTAATCAGGTTTGTGGTTTTGCTAAGATTTACTAATGGGCTTTCAATAATTTTAATATGTATAATCTGTTAGGTATGTACCCAGTGCTAATAACATGTTGACCAATTCGGAGGATCATTTTGTTTGTTGTAGGTACTTATTCTTGGTTAGGCCATCATTTCCGAATTATCATAAATCTGTTTAGATAAAAAGACGGGTTATTGGTTGTGAGTCGCATGCTGAATATGTTAAAAAAGAATCATTTTCTATGAGAACTAGGAAGGCAGACATATGAAGTTTGTGTGTTAATTTTTATTGACGATAGGTGTGATGTATATGTTCTTTGTGGACTAAGTTGTTGGTTTCTGCCAGCAGTTTGGGATACAGTTCACAAGAACGAAACGGTGCCAGCCATCAAAGCAATTTACTGGTGGCTTAAGGATACAAGTAACTTATGACACATCCGGAATTTGAAAAAGCCACCAGATGAATAATAATCTACAGAAATTAATCGTACTTACGTTTTGTTTAACTTGGGTACCCAAATGAGCTTGGGGATACTGATATTGTCATGTCACGTAAAATGTATGAGAATAAATGCAGCATTTACCACGGTTATTTTACAAACCCTTCAGACATTACTGCAGACTATTCAGCCATAACGTACAACTCGACAGGGATGTGTGTTGATCCAAGTTGCAATACATCGGTACTGCAAGCATTTATTGAAAAAGATAGTACCAGACCACTGGGTTGTACATAAAGCAAGTGCTTACTCCACTCTTAAATTATTTAGGGCCTGTTATTTAGGTATGTCGACTAATCACCGCGATTTGCATCACAATTACTCTTATTATACGTCATATCTGAAGACAAATCCATTGACAGGATCAGCTGCTCAGTTACATAGAATTATAAAAGTTATGGTTAAGTTCACTTATAAGTTAGGAGACTGGAAAGCCAATTAACATCTATCCACACTAGCTCACTATATTTGTCTGAAGCTTATGCATTTTTCACTGTAATCTTATCTGAACAAAGCTTTCAGTACCTGTCATTTTAACTGTTCTACAATCACGTTTTTGTTTAGTTTTGTTTCAGATCGTGGTCGTCTTGTTTTCGAAATATTACTTTTTATCTTGGTGATTATTGAAAGAATCACGAACAAAATAAAGGAGGGAATTATTGTAACGCTAAAAACGGTAGGAGAATTTAGATATTTTTGATCGGAAAAGTGTCACTTTGATCCACGATAACTGTTCAGTTCCTGCTATTCGGTTGTGTCAGTGCAGTTGAAGCCTAACTTTCTCTCGTCGGGACATTCATTCATACGACCATTCAAGCCAGCAGATCAGGTTGTACTCTACGGCGCTTCAATCCTGAAAATGGCCAGCGAAGACAGTAAGACACTTGTAAATAAAGAATTTCTTACAGGTGTTGTTGAAGGTATGTTGTACATTATGTTTATCTGATTTACACTTAGGGTTTTATGGTCGACCTTGGACATATCCTCAACGGAAAGAACTGTTTCGGAGGATGAATCAAATGGGGATGAATGCTTACCTATATGCTCCTAAGGATGATATAAAACACAGACAGTCATGGAGGGATTTGTATACTCCAGAGGAAGAGCAGCAACTTCAGTTTTTGATCACTGAGTCCACTGAAGCTGGAGTACTTTTTATTTTTGCTATATCACCAGGCTTAGATGTAACGTTCTCTAGTGCTAAAGAAGTAGATATTTTAAAGAAAAAAGTTGATCAGGTAATCGTATACACAGTTGGTTTATTCATAAAGATTGAGTGCCTTCAAAATGTTGTCCGAACACAAAATCATGGTTTTCCACTAATTACAGAAAATTTAATCAGTCTAGGTACTTAGATACTCAAGGTGATGTAATTAGAGCTGTTTGTTCTGACAAGTAGACTTCGAGAGCGTTTAGGAAATTTTTAAGGTCATTGCCTCAAATATTTAGTGTTTATCTACCCCACCTATTTTCATCTAGATGGGTGGATGACTTTTCTAACTCCTCAATAACTGGTTCCAAATCTCATTGTATCGATCCGTACGTGGGAATTGAGTTGCAAAATAGTTTATCAACCAATGTATTTAGATGACATATTGGATATCTCGCGCTTTCTGTTTTGTGTTGGTGGTATTTTAGAAACATTAAAGTATTCATTTATGAAAAAATGCCCATTTTTAAATTATTAGTGATTATCTCTGATCTGTCTCGGTGTATTTTGAAGTTGATTAATATTGATTACAAAACATCTCTCCCTTTATATATATATATATATATATATATATATATATATATATATATATATATATATATATATATATACTCATTATGAGTTTCATTAAAATTTGCTGAAGTTATCCCTAAAAATTGTCTCTAACTAATGTGACCAAGCGCGCTAAGATATATACACATTCTAGAACCGTAGTTCAATATGCTGATAGTTTATCTCTATTACTGTCTTCTGAATCGTTCGTTCTTAATTTCTACAAACTTTGACAATAAGCATGTAAATTGTCTGAAGTGATGGTAAAGATTTATAGCTCAGATAGATGCTTTTTTAGTGTTGCACTTTTTTAATCGGATGGTTTAATTGGGTATTTTTCGTTGCTGTGGTCGACATTATCATTGCTTTTTATTATTAGTCCTACTATTTATTCCTAATTATTAAAGGTTCACTTCTGTGTGAATTAGGCACTGATAATGTTGTCTAGAACGGCAATGAAAGCCTGAGAGTTAGGCCACCCAAGTCAAAGAATACAACACCACCATATTTGTTAATCAACTTTTGTCGGTACTAAACGTCAGTAAGTCGTGTTTGCGTCTATTTATTGTGTGGACTTTTTAAAATTATGACTGGTCTTTAGCTATATGCTTGAAATTTTGATGGGGGTTTGTAGGATGATTATGAAGTATGGTTAGGGGTTTTAGATGACGCGACAAAATAGGTCACAGTGGCCCAAATGTAACTGTTTTTTGCTTTACTTTAGTTATTGAGTATAGTAACATTTAACACTTCTCCTGGATTTCAATTTTTCATGAGACTGATGTTTTTTATATATAGTTTTCCACAGCAATTATTATTTCAAATTCCTAGCTTTTCGTTCTACTGATTCTTTACTGTATCGTGACTTTTGTTAGTTTTTATTATTACCAGATCGTTGGCTGTGTTTGTCAGTAACGTTTTAGGTTTTTTTGATAACCCGTTTATACGCATCATATATAATATCGATGTTTTAGGTTTCAAAACTTGGTTGTCGTGCATTTGCCCTTCTTTTTGATGATATTGAACCGCGCCTATGTCCTGCAGATCGAGAGGTATTTAACTCATCAGCCCGTGCTCAGGTTATGTTCGCGAATGAAATTTACAATCATTTAGGATGTCCAGATGTCTTTTTATTCTGTCCAACGGAGTACAGTGCAAGTTTAGCAGTACCTAATATTAATAAATCAGAATATCTAGCGACAGTCGCTTCCTGTTTAGCACCAGGTAATATATTTGTAACTTGCTCTTTTCTAAAATTTCGTCTTATGAATTCATAAGTTTCTTATTTACATCTATCATCGTTTCTAGTTTAAGCTCATTTCACCACAGAGCGTAAATGAACATTGGTTGCACTCACAAGACGTCATTAAAATGTTAGATAATGTCTCTTTCAGTTTTGGTAAGCGTCTCTCATATAAACGCTGGATTTCCTCAGAATTTTTAACGCTTTTTGTCCCTTGTCGGTTTATTCTGGAAAACCAGGAGTTCAGGAGTCAGCCTAGGTAAAGATAAACACCTATTAGTCGTAGAGTGCTACAGAACTGTAATCAGTGGATATACTTGTTGCGCAATAAACTCAGGGTAGTCGCAACAAAAACCTTGTGTCAGTAAAACAGTTTGTGGTTGACGGTGTGACAATTAGTAATTTTCAAAGACGTGCTGAACGACTGGGTAAGGTGCCTCAGCGGACAATTCGACTGATTCATTGTCGCAGAAACTCCGATCAGATTTGTCTAATGTCTAATGGCGCATATATATTGGCGCTCTCTTGTACCAATATTCATGTGTTCAAATAAATAATAAATAAATTTTGTTAGAAACTCAATCATTGACCCAAAATTTTCAGATAAAATAGTGTTTGATCAACATGCTGACGAAACAGTCTTTTAAATACCTTGAGTAATAACGTAATAATTTTTCAAACTAGTTTTTCTCCCAACTGCGAAATTTTACCTCAGGGCTGATTTGTGTCTACCTATTTTAATCATATGAAGTGAACTAGTGGTGTGTTGAACATTATCCTTAGTGATTTAGTAGCTGACTTGATCTGAGCACGAAATTAAAGTGCTCGATTGGCTTTCACGCACTTGGGCTATATATGGCGTTGGCAAGCTATCCGTTTGTCTATTAAAACGTCCGATGTGTTTTACTTTGTGATTGTAATTTTGTTGATTATTTCTTGCTTTTTCTGTAAATCCATTTAAATTCTCACCAAAAATTTGAATATATGGTTGTATGTGCAGTATTCGGATTAAAAGTTTCATTAAAATTGATGATTCCACTAAATCTTGTTCGTTATATATATATTCGCGTTTGGAAGTACTTTGCTATTCAATCTTAGTGTAGATGTACAGCTTTATTTGCAAAATTGTTTTCTTCACCTTTCCGGTAATTTATTTTAGATATCAGTCAGTCAGTCAGCTACAACGTAGGACCAGGCACATGCACCGATCCAAACTGCCACATTTCATTAGCACAACAAGATGAACACCAAGTTCATAGGAGTAGTCATTTCAATGGTAGTAATGTATAAAAGAAAGATTGTGTATAAGGATATAGTACAGGAAGAAAGAATCAGTTAGTGGAAAGAAAGATATAAAGCAATTTTAATCTAATAGTTTAAGGGAAGATAGATAGTGTATACACCGATGCCATTGTGATCGATTCTGAGTCATGTCACCCAGAGTCTCCAACCACTGGTTACGACAGTCACGCGGACCCCATCAAAATACTCTGCATCTACCAACATGGCTAAGACTAGAAGTTAGTGACTTCAAGCACTGATGCCACGTTTTGGTTTGGCCGCCCCTAAGTTCCCTTCAACCGTCTCCCACATTAATCGGCTTTGCGCGTCGTGGTAATCGGTGTTCAGGCATACGTAACACGTGGCCCAACCATCTTAGTCGATGGAGATTTACAACCTCATGAACTGACTTATCATAATTCTTTAATACCCTGCGTCTAACCTCACTATCACTTACCCAGTGATCCCATCGGTTGTGAGCAATATTTCTAAGGCATCTGTGGTCAGATACTAGTAGCTTACGAGTATCTTCTACACTTAATGGCCACATTTCGCAGTCATAAAGTAGAACTAAACGAACTGCTGTACAGTATACTCGTCCCTTAAATGATAGACGGATATCTCGCCTTCACAATAGGTGACGTAAATTGTCAAAAGCCCAACGAGCTTTTCGAATCCGTGCAGAGACTTCGTCGGACACCAACCCATTAGGGCTGATCAGATTTCCAAGATAAGTGAGGTTGTCACCTCGTTCGACTACTTCACTCCCTATCCTTAGTTCAGGTGTTGACCCAGACCAGTCCTGGAGCAACGACTTGCATTTAGAAGGGGGAAAAGCGCATCCCAAACATTCTAGCATTGTTGCTCAGTGCTACCAGAAGACTATTTTATCAGCGTTTTCACTAAACAGAACTGTGTCATCTGCGTATTCTAAGTCGATAAGTGGATCTCCTGGTAGGAGACCAATGCCCGAGAATTCAGTGAACGAGAACGTTGTTTCCATCAGTATGTCTACGATGAAGTTGAACAAAAATGGAGATAGTGGACGGCCTCGTTGGACACCGCTTGAGGTTACAAGATTAGATTATAGCTTTGGCTCGACTAATAGTGTTCGAGTAAAGTGCCTTCACAAGGTCTACGTACTTCTGAGGTACATCTTTCAATGACAGACATTGCTGCAGAACCTTTCGGTCTGCAGAATCAAATGCTGCTTTTAAACCAAGAAACACTATCATTTCCGGACGCCGATAAGCATGCCTGTGTTCTAGAACCTGACGAATGGTGAATATGTGGTCGATGCAGCCACGACCAGGTCTGAAGCTAGCCTGATTTTCCCTTGTTTGTAGTTCACAAGTCTTAGGCGTCCGATAATTATTGAGGCTAGTATTTTAGATGCCATGTTAGTCAAGCTGATCCCTATACGGTTATCACAGGATGATTTTGACTCTTTCTTATATATTGGGACAATAAGTGATTGTGACCAGTCAGATGGAATAACGTCCAACTCCCAGATTTTAGCTAAAATATTAGTCAACCTAATCGCTAAAATTGGACCACCATCCTTAAAGACCTCTGGAGCCAATCCATCTGGACCAGCTGCTCTTCCTCGTGTCAGATTAGCTATAGCTTTCTGAACTTCAGCTGTCGTCAGGGAACCTACTTCAATGTTCCATTTAGGCTATCTGGGAATAGTGGGTAGTTGTAGAGTAGCTGAAGGCCAGCTGAATTGCTCCTTAAAATGTTCCGCCCATCGTTCTAAACGTCTGGATTAGGAGCAAATAAGATTGTCGTCTTTTTCCGAAATAGTCTCACTTACACTTGATTTGTTAATTCCAGTTTCTTTTATTAATCCGTTGAGCTGTCTTGCGTTACATACAGCCTCTGCCTTTTCCATCTCTTTTGCTTCCGTTGCCCACCAATGCACACGGTCGTTCATTAGACTTTTGTTTAACCTATATCTGACTTGTTTTCGTTATTCATCGTGTTCAGAGCCTGATGGGATGAGTTTACGAGAATCTATCAGTTCAATAGACTTAGTAGAAATCCACTGGTTTTTTGTAACCTTTTGATTCAAACTACTATTAGATGTCACTGCTATTTTCACAACTGTTCGTACATCTTTCCAAGCAACATCTGGATCAGCCTTGTTTTCAGAACTGCCTAAGTGTGACCTCAGTTGTTCCTGTAATATGCTTTTGGTTTATTCATTGCTGAGTTCAATTCTAAAGGGTCTTCTTAGTGTGGTTTTTCTGCGTCCAGTAAGGCACAGGCAAATGTGTGCTCGTACTACAGCATCATCAGAGTCTAAACATGTACTCCAAAACGAACTGAAGTCTTCTATCAAGCATCTCCAACGATGGTTGATGACAATATGGTCTATTTGAGTCCACTGTTGGTTTGGTGAAGAGGGTCGCCATGTTAGACGATGTCTTTCCTTATGCTTAAAATTTGTGTTTGCTAAAAATAAACGATTGTCTGAGCACAGTTGCAGCAGATCACCATTATGTGTTCGTTGTGCTGGAATACTAAAATACCCACCTAAATGCCTTTCTGTTTGGTTTAAACTACCTATCTGGGCATTAAAGTCACCTGCTACGAGTACTATGTCTGAACGTTTAGCTTTCTGAAGAAGTTCAGATAGCTTTCTGTAAAATTCATCTTTCACTTCATCTGAGCTGCAGTCGGTGAGAGCGTAGGCAGAAACGACAAAAAGGTAATTATGTTTGTCCCTATCCTTCCGAGTTCTTATGGAGCTGTTTAGCCGAACAGCACATAGGCGACTGTTATTGTAGATGACAGTAAAAGTTAGGTATTATTTTTTGTCTGAATTTCATTACTATTTCGAAAAAACCAACTATGATCTGACAGTATGTCTTCGATATGAAAATATGGGCAAAATAACATTCTTATATATGTAGTTAGTAAATTCTCAAAGTTAATGTTTTTTCTTTTAATTAATGCCTAAAAATTGACTTAAGGTATCGCTGTAATCTGGACCGGTCCGCTTGTAGTATCTAAACGAATTTTAACTAAGGAGCTGAAGGAATTATCTACTTTACTACAACATCCTATCGTTTTATGGGACAATCTACATGCTAATGATTATGACCAGCGTCGCGTATTTATAGGACCGTACAGTGGTCGACCCTTAGCTTTACGTCGCCAAGGCTTGCTTAGAGGAGTGCTGACCAATCCGAATTGTGAATTTGAAGCAAACTATGTGGCGTTTCATACTCTTGCACAATGGTCGAGGTAAATTGCAACTTGGTTTTTGTAATTTATCTGCATTAGGAAATGTATTATAACAGTTGTCTGTATCAGTAATTTAAACAGTAAACTCCCGTTTACACAGTCACGTATTAAGATTTGGACTGTTGTTACTCGATCAAAAGATCAAATTTAAAAAATGGTTATTCATTTTCAAATGTGCTTATTAATTCTCAATATTAGCGCAACTATTTTCTTAAGCTCTGTGTTGAGTGTAATTCACATAGAACGCGCTCCTGACTTTTATTGGAATTGTAATGTAAAAGTTGATTATCTCGGCTTTACTTCTGCTGATATACCACTGAAATACACATCCTGCTTGTTCTCGATATCCTTACGTTCGTTTTTATGTAGAAGGCGGCGGTTATACTGTTTTTAAACGTAAGGAGAAACGGAAAAGTTACATATTACCGATCATATGGTTTTTTCGTAGTCTGTTTTAATTAAGCAATATTAAAAGTAAGTGCTATTCACTTTTTAATCTAGACAAGCTGGTAGCAAACATATAATACAATCAACTGATACAGAAATGCTATGTACAAGTGAAGATTTTGAATCTAATGCTTCTGATGATAACGAAGTGATTGATGATGGTATCGATGATCAAAAGTCAGGTGATATTAATGAACACCCGTCTGTCTGTCAGGATGACTGTGTAAGTAGAAAACGACAATATGCATCTGTTTACAGACCTCGTGAGGCTCTCCGTATAGCTTTGCGAGACTGGCTTGCATTAATGCTTCAGGTTAGTTTATATGCACACTTTCTACTGTATAATTTTTCTGAGTTTTGCCTCAGGTGTAAATCTAATTTGATCTATACAATACACCGGACTGTTGTTTAGAGTTTAAATACCTACTCAATGTCACTGGTCTTTTCACATTAGGTGTGACTTGCAGTCTAATTCACTAAACTTCACATAGTTATTGTCCCATGTAATCGCTTACAGTTTGTATGTGTATCAGTTAATGTTTCTTATCCATTGCAAATTTAATACAGTAATTGAAAAGTTATTTTGGTGCCCATCGAAATTTTATTCGCTTCATACGCGTACTTTTCAGTTGGTTAACTTCTTGATCGAATTCAGGTACGTTTATGTTATAACTTATGGCCTTGTACCCTTATCCATATATGACGTCATGATACCGCCAATTAGAGAACAGTGATTTATCGGCCGGACCAATGACACATAAAATCCGTACGAGCAGTCGAAAGTCTTTATCGGTCCCTCTTCCTGCCTAACCTTGACTGTTAAGTCCAGAACACCAATCTCAGCCTCCGTGATATGAATCATGTATTTCGAACATACTGGGTTTAATATTACACATGTTTAGGATTATCGATAAGTTTCCAGAGCGTTTCTTATCATTTGACGTTTGATAGTGTTTTTAGCTCTGTTAATACTTTTAATGTTTTTTTCTACCACCGTTTTCAATTACTAAGGTATAACTAAATTTTCATTTAAAGGTTGGTGCTTCAAAACCTAGCACGGCTATAGGTACTCCTACACCTATGGATACAGACAATCTTGAAACTGGTCAAAACGAAGCTCCCATGCAGGTAAATTGAACGTTGTCAATTGGTTATTTTTCTCTTAAAATATCTTAATTCCAATTCATTATCTTGAAATGTCATGTGTTGTTTTTCTGGTTTTCTTGGTTACATTATCTTGCTTTAATCAGAGTAACATAAAAAAGTTTCTTTTATATATGCAGGTTACAAATTTACTGTATCTCCCTCTTATCTCTCAGAAATCCTACCGTTGTTCATCAACTTACAGGTTTCTGAAATTTCTGTAACTCAGCGAAGATTTGGAACATTATATAGACTGCTATACGGCCCAGTGTTTTTGGTTTGTCTGTATCAAAACAGTTTCTCAATAAGCACTGGAAAAGTACTTAACAGTTTAGAGTTATATCAGTGTTGTTTGTTGTTTCTTTATTTTTAGCTGGTAGTAAGAGAATCTTGTCTGGTTCTAAAATTTGCATATCTTTACAAGAGATAATCATTTACGCTTAGCTGATTCAGTCGATCTAGTTGCTCATTTCTTCTTATCTGTATTTTCTGTTTGAAATACACTTGTATGTGTAGATTATGGATTGTGATGTAATCGCGCTTTGCTACACAGTACTGGATATAGCTTATCCTTTAGATTTATTTAGTACGGCGGTATACGATGTAAGAATTCAAGTGAGTGCTAGCTAATAATTAGGATAGTTTGTGGAGTATCAAAGATGATGTTACATTTTTAATGAATGAACATAAATATATCAATACCAAATGATCATGTGTACAATGATGTCTGTTGATTTTGAACAATAGTTACAGTCTTCTAACCAATTAAATACAAGATCAAAACTATTTTTAACAACTTTCTTCCTTTCATGGATTGTCATTTTTTACTAAGAATATATACAACTTGCCATATGAGAGCTTCTGATTCCTGTTAAAACTATAAACTTTGTTTCATAATACAACTTAGTTTTGTTGATGTGTGCAGTTCAAAGTGATTCGGCTTTGGTTCGGTTTGAACGAGTAACATAATGTAATGCGGTTACTTATGAAAGTTAGCGAAGACTCATATCTCGTATTTTAGAAAGCTGTAAACTCGATGTTCTGTGTATGTCAAATTTGCCGTCTTATTTCCGTGAATTTATCTCCTCTATATGCATTCACCAGTTTGAATGGTCATGTGAAAATAGTTACAGTAGACGTGTAATGAACGAACATACGGGTGGGGGTAATTAATGTATTTTAATACAAAATTACACAGTATCTTGGTAAAATATAAGATCCATATATAAAATACTTCATTTGCAGATATTCCATCAATTGTTCTTTACATTTTCTGTGATTATTCTAATTTACAATTTATTCCTATTTTCATTTCTGTTTTCTTCAATTCGATCTTCTTAGCTTTCTGCTGCTATACGTCTCACTCCTTATTGGTGTTAAATACTACTTATGTCGACAGACATAAGTAGCATGCACCACACTCGTCTTCCCTTTAAAAATGGTCGTTCTTGAGGTTGTTCTGCTCGCCGTGCCACTTCTTTACTGCAGTCTGTGCTACACTGACTTTCGTAACTCTATCGACATAAGTAGCATACAGATGTACAGTTAGATAAACCAGTTTCCGAATTTCTTGACAATATCCATCTTGAAGGAGACAAAAGACTAATATCACATATGCTGTTCATATCATTTTGATTGTATTTGTCCAACTAGTCTCATGCAAGTGATTAATCAGGATCATCAGTCGATTCTAACGTTAAGTGTTTTATATTGTATTATTAAGTTAAACAGTGATACCACTATCAAATAATGTTTTCCAATAAGATGTTTTCAAATCTATACAGGTATTCATTGCCGTGTAAATTCCATGTAATATTTGCTTTAATTGATAATTATTAGGTTGAATCCACCCCTTCCAATGTCGTCATGACTTCTGATAATCATTCTTCTGAAACCCCTATTTCAGGTTAGTCAATCAAATTTGTTGACAACATAAAGCGTATATTACCAATACAACGTAAATATTTGTTTACAATCGATTTAAAATCAACATTATAACAGTTCAAATAGTTTTATTAATTGTTGGTTTACTCACTTAATTAACAGTTCTCGAATATTTATTGTGAATAATAATATGATAAAGAGAGTAAAATCATGATCTCGTTATCTTTTGAGTGTTATTACTCAATCTGTAAAGTAACTGAGGCCGTAGTCCAGATGGAGCTAGTTCAAATATTTCCATGACCCAGGATTTCTAAGATAATTTTAATTATCACCTGTGTATATAATTAGCGCCTTATAGAAATGGAGGTTGTATTGAAATACCATTGAATATTCACATTTTTATTTTATGAAGAAAGGTATCACAAATCTAAGATTTTCGATCTTTAATCTGACGAATCCCCGTTGCGAAAATCGAATCATTCGGTTATCACAGGAAACCTATTCCATCAGTAACTGGTGTCATTCACTAGCCAGTGTACTTAAATCTAAGTAATGCTTTTTATAGAAAGGTTAATTGTATGGATTTAGCTACTTCCAAACTGAAGTAAATGAAACAGATGTGTTAAGCCTATGACCACCAATTACTGAAAATCAAGCCCTTTAGTTATCGAGATATCACTCGAATTAGAAATAATGTTGTGTCTTAATTGTCTCACAACAGTAACCCAAATCGATTTACATAGGTTGGTGATATGTTTTTTAACCAGACTATTGTATACCTTACATCCTTGACCAGGTTATTGAAACAAATCACATAGAGAAAGTAAATAGATTGACTAATCTAGTAAACTGAAGATTACTATTTTGTTATATCGTGTTTTGACCTTCTAGCTACCATGTCGTCAGTATGATTTTAATTATGTCAAATAAATCTGTGTCACCCATGCAGTACTATTTCAGTTAATCAAGCCAGTCGAGTGTTTATCTAACCACATGATTACAACCTCGGTTGTAACAATACTGTCTTTTCTAACAAAGTTAGCATTGGATTCAAACTTATGTGTAATACGAATAACTAATTCAAGTTATTACGTAGTGTATTCTAGATTCCTAATTATTCTCTGGTACTAGTCAAGGATGAATCATGTCATCATGGTACTAAAAAATTATGTATTTGCTGCATGTCTTACATTGTTTTGCATCATTAGACAAAGGGAAGTAATCATTATAGGAATAGCTTATCTTTATTTTCATAATAATAATAATAATAATAATAATAATAATAATAATTATTATTATTATTATTATTATTATTATTATTAGTTTGTTTTTAGTTACTATACAGTACAATCAATTGTTATAATCTCAGCTGACATGTAATCGATATATGATATATGTAAACTCTACTGACAAGAATTCATAAACAAACTCATCTAAAACTTGCAATTTTATTAATTTATTTTCCACCAAATTATTATTATTATTATTATTATTATTATTATTATTATTATTATTATTACTTTAGATATGTATCCTTTCTTAAATATGTGCTCTTATAGGTGATGTAAATTCAGTTACTGTTACCTTAGAGGATTTGGAAATGTTCGCTGATCTTTTCTATTTACCTTTCTCTCATGGACCCTCAGCTATTCGTCTACTAGAATTAGGACATTGGTTACGTGAATATTCGTATGTTTGTGGACCTAACCCATCTGATCTTGAGGTAATAGTGATCAATTATGAAGTTCAGTGTGAAGATATCTTTTTGTTCTGAAAGTAATGCTTTCATATTGTACAATGTGAAGAAGCATTCCATTAATATTCATCTTACATAAGTACAGTTAGCTTTATTTCTTGCTAATCACAAGTGATAAATCAGCATGTTTCCATTTTTTGTTCTAAATAATCAAACGTTGCATTAACTAATCGAAATTTAATGATCTTCATTTCATAAGTTAATAGTATCTCTCATTTATTTTGCCTTTTGAGCTTTTTTTATCTGAACGACCGAACCGTTTTGAAATCCGTGTAATTTATTTTCCAATCATCTTGGTTCTATTCTTTTCGCCTTCAGATTTAAGAATTTTATATCATCTGACATTTTAATAATATAAAGTCATGGCGATTTGATAATACGATATCTTTCCCCTTTTTCAGGTTGCGTTAGTAGAACTTCGTTTCCTTTTGTCTCGTTAAGTTGCTTACTTACGCTCGTTATACCTCGCAGAGGAGCATGTCTCTTAGGACTATCTTTCTTTAGATCACTCATGTTTGTCGACTTTGTTTCGAAAAACTGGAGTATATTACAATGGAATTGATCAAATGATGTGGAATTAAACTTGTAACTCTAAAAATAACGAATGTAAATTCTTCAGGTTTGTAAATGCGGGTAGTTCACAGTTATGGAGATAATTACAGAATTTGATGTTATTAATACAACCAGCAACTTATGTCTTAATGTGGTTTATAATTTAAAATAATCTTAAAATCAGTGGTTGGAAACATAAACTCGCATAGCTCAGAACAGATCACAGTGACACATATACATGCACCCTTTATCTTCATTCAGATCTTCAGTTTCAGTATTTCTTCATATATATCTTTTCAATCAGTCTTTTTGAACCATATTTTCAAAATTCAGCCTTTCTCACTATCATTACTACTACAATTATCTCAACTCATTCTCTATTAATCCTGCTAATTTCATCTAGTCAATACTGATGTGGTATAGAGAATTGAGCTAACTTACATTTGTATCAAACTCTGTTGATTATAACTAGTTGAATAATTAGTAATCAACAAAATATCATGGTAGTTTCTTTATTTTTTCATTTATTTTTTACTTTTAGAAAGCAACTGAATGGAACAAAAAGTTATCAGATTATATAGATATGGTTTCTACAATTGGTCGAATACGAGATCGTATACAACGCTTACCATCTAAAAGTATCTCCTATGAACTAGTACCATATATAACCGAAGTTCATAGTGTAGTTGGAATTATCCTGGATTATTTCCGATGGTTAGGTAAGCCCTACGCTATATATATATATATATATATATATATATATATATTATATTAACGGTCTGATCAAACAACACTAGTCAGAGTACTTTCCAAATTTACAACCAGGGATTTAAATGGTTTCGCTTTGTTTATTGTTGTCTAAAAACATTCGGAACGTATACATTCAACCATAATCCATATTCAATATAATCGTAGAATGAACAGTAATGTTTTTGGTGGAATATATATTCTTTATTTGTATTAGTCTGAAATTATGACCATAATAAAACTGATCGCAAATTAATTCCCGTGTAAATTCCTACAAACCTATCAGTTGTGACAGTAAAAACTTTTCTACTGATTGTTTCGAATTGTATTTGTTAGTTTATTTCATGAATATAACCTTTCCAAGTCTCCACATATAGTTTAGTTATTCTTCTGAAGTATTATTGCTCTTAAGGAAAATATTGTCTTAAACCGAGTAATTCTCCGCCCTCGAGTTCATTTATAAGTTCTATTCAATGAAACGACCAAAGTTTTCGGTGTTTTGTTCTTTGAGCTGAATGGTTTAGCCGTGGAGATTTCATCGTTATTCCGAACGACATCATCAGCACAAACTTCAGGTAGAAGTAAAGTTTTCTTACAATATTGTTTCATCTATTAACCTGAGTTCCCAGATATTTAGCATAACTAGTGTTTTTCTTAATATTTTACAGAAACTGGAGTCATGGCTTTTCGTAGCATGTCTCATTTAAAGCGGCTTTTAACATGTAAGTTTTTATAGGTTTGCTACTGTTTATACATATTGAATGCCAGTAGTTTAGTAATTAATACAAGATTTTCTTGAACCTGATCCCGTATAGGATTGCACCGTTGTGAAATCCTAGACTATTATCAAACGTTTATTTATTTATATTTTCCATTAATTCTCAGTTTGATTAAACATCATGATCTAAATTATCTTAGAAAAAAGTTATCATTTATTGTTGTGGTTGTAGCCAATAGTAGCTGGTATATACATGATTACGCATGAAAATGGGGGACGTATTATTGATTTACAGTAGCTTAGGCTTCAAACTAGAGGACAGCTGTTTATTATTAGTTCCAAGGGTAAACTATAGTGGAAATCACTTGTTACAGAAGGGAAGCGTCTTGAAAGAGCTCATTTTTGTTTCCAAGTATTTGTCTTCTGTTTAAGTCAAAGTGGGGTACTTTGCGTAATTCCTATGTACCACCTCTAGACTTAACATCATTTTAATGTAAATACACGGTGTATGTATATTTTGGGCTTCCTTGACAATGATGCTGTTCGGTGTACGGCTGTTTGTTTGTTCTTTGCGGATCAATATTTTATCCTGTTTCATTTTGTATTTCATGAGAACTAAAAGAATTTGCGTTATTCTTATTTAAAATCTTCCATTTCTTAAAATTTTAGGGTTTTCGCCTGGTTACCGTGATATGGTAACATCTGGTGATCAAGAACCATGGACATTTCGTGGTGGATTGATAACAGAACTTCAGGTAAATAAAATCATACTTTTCAGCTAGCTTTCATTCAGTTGAGTGGTTGGAGTTAGTTGACAAGAAACTCTGGATTTAGGCTTTATAGTAGTTAGCACTCGTTATTAAGGGGTACCTGCAATCATGAGGGTACTGGTGCCCCTAGTGGTTTCGAACCCACGTCACCCAAATTCATAGTCTAAGACATTAACATTGAGCTATTTTAAGATCGATTGACCTCATGTAGGACTGAAATATCTATGATTCGGTAATCACTATGTGGCGATCGCCGTTATATTTGTTGGGCTCTTGAATGCTAACGAAATTCTATCGATCAAGATTAAATGTGCCCACTAGTATAAGTGACTCAACATCGGGTGCATTATTTTGATATGTAGGTCACATTGCAACTTCATCTATAAAATTCGGTCAGAACCAAATTACAGAGGTCAGTACTTATTGACCAATCAAGTGGAACTTTTTATCTAATATTCATACAAATTTTCTGTTTTCAACAGTATGCTAATTTATATACTTAGATGACCATTAAACTCATAGAACTATCTATACTTACATAGTTCCAAAAATTATTTACTCAGTTATGAATCGATTCGATTCATTGTTTCCAGATTTATCAACCATTAGCTTTATATTTATATAAATCATACTTTAAAAATAAACGGATCATTAAAGGTAACAAATTATTCCTTGCAAGGTTTTACACCATATATATTTTTAAGATAAAATCAGTATGAACAATTTTCTTAAATTATAAGCATGCTATTTTGTTTGTTACGATCCTTACAAGTTAGATTTCTTTCAGTCTAAATTTTCAATAGTTGGTTATGTTGTAGTCTGTATGACATCATACATTTAAAGGTCTTTTGAATATGATAACTAGAGGTTTTCTTTTCCTTGTTCAGAGAATTTTACCTCTCGAATCTGCTCAAGATCTTTTCCCTGCACCAAGTCGTGCTGTCCCAGGCATGACTACCATTCCTTGTTTGAATTGGCCTGATAATGCATCAAGTGTATACACACCACTTGCGCCTTCTGTTCCCCCAATGATTCCAATTCAACCTTCAATTTTCCCAAATTTTTCAAGGTTTCCATCATATATAGTTCGACCATATAGACCTGAAGATAAATCATGTATGTATGGCTTATTCAGAAAACTACTTTTGACTCGTGTTGGTTTACCTGAAAACGCTCTTCCATTAGAATTCCAGGATTTACCAGGTGACAAGTGAGTAAATTCATATATCAAGTATTTATTTTCGAAGATAGTTTTAAGAAGATTATGTGTAATTTGAATACAACTTTCATCATTAACTAAGTAAAATTACTAAATAATTCAGTTTTCCAGGTTCGATCTTGTTTGGAGTCGTATGTGTACACTAGTTAAAAACCCGTTCAAAGTAGAATGTATCAATTATTGAATTCTCCCTGGTTTTCATTGATTCTCCAATTTACATTAGGATACTTATATATGTGCTGAGATCACTATAATGAATATTATTAAATATAATAAAACTCTATGGATTTATTGTTATGGTTATTTTTATGAAAAAAAGTCAAATAAACATCATTAATTTATTTCAAGGTTAATTTATAATATATAATGTAAGTGCGTAGCCCACTTATTGTTTATTAGTTTGTTAGAAATTATTATTTTGTGATTTAAATAGGCTTTATATTGTTAACATGAAGTATCCAGTGCTGATCTATAGGTTGGATTACAGTGATACGATGTGACCGGGCAAGTAATAGTCATAATCAGTATAGAACCTGGCCAAGTGGTAACTATTCAAGTGATCGAATTATTGACATCCACTTGCAATGAACCTAGATCAGAAGACATGACAGTTGACCAGCTGAATAGCTTATTTATTCATTTAATAAAATAACACACTTATGTACAACATATCAAGCAAAAATAAACATACTTAAAAGTCAGTCGAAACATTAGAAATCGGGAGATACGTATTTCTTAGGTCACTTAAGTACCATTAAAATTAAGTTTCAATTCTTGGGTTAATTTTTTCTCCATCACACTACAATTTAGTTATTTTTATGAGTAAACTAAGATTAAAATCAATTTCTTGATAAATTATCGTTGATTGTAATCAGTTTGTAAATAATTGTCAGAGGTTAGTTGTACTACCAAATAAGGTCATTTGAATCACGCAAGAATGGAAACATATTGTGTCATTTAAATCTTTCAAATATTTTAGTGTGGTTTTCATCATTATATCTTGGTTAGTTCAAAGCATGAACTAAATGGTTGTCTAGTATTTTAATCTAACCATTTACTAGCTACTTGATAGAACGCTTTAAAACTACAGTTTGTGAGCATTTAGAAAAAAAACTATGGGATTACCATCCTGATTAGCATTTCCAGGTCTTGTTCATGTAACATTTTAAAAATATTGCAATCTACTAAGTATGTTTATTGTTCACTGCCTCTAAATGATCAACAGAAGTTTTTAACAGTATTTGTTTATGTAAACATAAACGTACTGCCTATATTTAACTCGTATATGTTCCTCTTACTTCATTCGTGTTTGGTATCAACTTATAGGTATTTACTTCCATTTCTACAACATTCACCTGAAAATTGTTTTATGGTTATGGGTCCACCCTTCCTGCAGACCTCAGTTGATTGCTCTAGCTCAGTCACAAATACTGATCACTCTACCACAGGTAATTGTGTTGGCTTTGGTGTTTCAGCACCAGATGCTGTATGTTGGGCTCGTGAACGTACTACTCACTATCGAGAGTCAATGAAATTGAAATATCCACGTGATTTCCAAATTGGAGTACACAATTTATCGCATTGTAACAAATTAGTCGTTGGAAATGGTGAGACCAACAACTCTAACTTGAACGTTGTTACTGCGACTGATACTGCTCGATTGGAACCTCCTGTAATTTCATCTGCCCCACTTTCCCCTTTAACAGATGATCGTTCTTCAAGCATTACTCCAAATCAAAATTCTGTGGCTGTCGAAGAATTCATCAAGGTGAATAATAATAGTAATATTTTTTGCTCATTTACTATCATCTTTGTTTTTTGTTATGATTGATGTATTCAATTCCACATATTTAGTGTATAACAACTGTTTAGACCTAAAGATCTTGTTGGATTTAGTAATCATTGTACTAGTTCCATACACACAATTTACGAACTTTAAAAAATTTCGACGGATCGAATGCACGCAGTAATAATGTTTACAACATAGTCAATTTGTTTCAACTAAGGATTATAATTTCTTTACTTCAGCTGAGTTTTCTGACATTGTAGTGCTGAGTCCCTGTATCATTATCAAATAAGTATACTGAGTTGCATGAAGTAGTCTTTTGATTCAAATTCCCATACTACTCCAACTAAAGATTTTATTTAAATGAACTAAAAAATATCCAGTGAATATTAAACTAAGTTGATAATAAGTTCAAATGTATACAAATTTAGCCATGAAATATATATTTCGTCATAATGGATATCTAAATATGTTCATTTATGATATCCAACCACTGATGACCATGGTTATACTGATTAAGATTGAAAGATAGCTACAGCTTGTCACAGTCAACTATACAAAATATAAATTATTAACTACTTAAAGTAATAGTAACGTCTTAGTCATTTTTTTAATTTTCAGTCTATGATTTCTTCTTTCCACAACGATACATCTGAAGTTGTTGATATTGCCGCAGCTGTGAATTTACTCCCTCCTCCTGAACCACTTGGTGGATGCCTTCCCATGGAGCCACCACTATCTGGTTGTTTGGAACAATGTGAACCTAATTGTACGACTGCTCCAATTACTTCTAATATTCCTACTAATTTGTCATCTCAATTGGAATTAAAATCTTCTTTTCCTATTGATGAATGTGGTACAACTATCCCAGCTTTACCTTTACCTACACCTATTTTACCAGATACCGCTCCTCCATCTCCACCATCTGGAACTACTTGTGCACCATCATTAGTGCCTGAGACATGTTCAAGTAGTCCTGCAACAACAAATTCAGTGATAGCTCGGAATCTTATTGTTGCCGGTGGACCAGAAGCACTTCATAGTGCTTTAACAGCTCATCCCGCTATTATATGGATTGAATTTGATGATATAGGATTAAATAGTTGTGTTAGTGGTCCTACACCTGCTATGCTTATTAATCATAATCTTGGATTATGTGCAGATTCACCTGAAGTGTTGTTGGATTCTGTGGCACGCCGATTATTTATTTGTTTGTTAGCGGCATTGAAGACAGTCGGCGCTCATGCAAGTTCTTAAATGGATAATTTGTTATTATAAAATATGATTGATAAATTTCATTACTTTAAACAAATATTTATATTTCTTGTTTCTTTTGATAATAGTTTTCTTAAATAAGTATAAATTTCGGAGATATATAAACAGTATAATTTTGTAAGATATTATCACTGTTCTATTTCAACTTAATTGATAAAATTCGTTTATTACTAAAAGATTCTCGACAAGCATGACAGTGGTTTCAACTTAGTGATTAATCACTTGTAAATAATTTTTAACTTAAATATTTATGTAAGAAATAAACTTGGTGCACATGGGCTCCAGTATACTGCGGGAACAAATAGCATATGAACCAATCGTTGGTCACCAGCTACCATGGGACTGCATCTCCTCACGATGCTCCACTGCCTTGTAGGTCAGACCCCCAAAGAAAACCACCTGCTTCGGTCTGGGCACCCGGGCAGTATCATAGCCCTCACACAAATCGGATGATTTATGTGGCGCATATCTGGTGCCTCCTTGTACCAGTGTTTATGTGTTTAAATAAAATTTAAAAAAAATAAACTATATTAAATTGAATTTATTATGAAATATTCAAATCTACATTTAACAAATACTTAGAAGTAATTAACAAGGATTGTTTAAAACTTGAATATAATGCTCTTGTACTGTACAGCTGAGAATTCTATAACAGAGAATTACTTTTAAAATTTTCAACTGAACCAACCAATCAGGATTGTGACTAAAGTTTTACGAATATATCATATGAATGGAATTGACAATCTTCTAACTAAATTGTCAATGCTTATGCGTAGATCATCACATTGGTTACTTTCAAAAAACCATTTCATGTAAACTGCAAATATTTATATTTCTTAAGTTGGAATAGAAAAGTTATGTTTATTTTGTAGATTCATCATTCATGTCATGTTTTCCGTTAGTTTACGAAGCTCGATTTTTTTATTCCACATTATATTGGTTGATAATAATGGATTACTTTACTTAGTTTTAACTCGACAACAATATTATCGATATATATAATGGAGCCTATATTATCGAGAAAAAATTAGTTGAACCAATCTAATGTACAAACAAAAACCATTAAATAACAAGAAAATGTATTTTTTATGATTCAATAACAATGAATAATACACTTGATACGAAAGATATAAGATTGTGCTTTGTGTTGGCCACTGGTAATTACTAGAATGCAACCATGTCTAGTTGATGAGTCTTTATATGAGACAAAATCTACATTCTGAATTTCATCGATAATCAGTATGTAATAAACAACTTTTTTATTTCGTTATTTCATTTAAGTTCTGTTAGTGGTATTATAATAGGGTTTGTTTTTTATCGTATTTCTATTTTACTTCAGGGAGCACATGTACAGTTGGATACTATCAATGAACATCGGGCAGAACTTTATCGACGTTTTGGTTTTTATCCTATTCCAGCAGCTTCAAATGAACAAACAACTGTTTTAGCTCGTTTAATTTGATGAAAATCCTATTCCTCTTCCCGTCACATAATCTAAGACATAGTTTTCTTGTGTGAAGTGTTCAATTATCAATGTTGATCATGATGTTGCTTAAATTACGTTCCTATTCTAAATCCATATTATTAAATGCTATCACTGTAGATTATCAATTCACACACATACATATAGTTGTTTGTTTGTATGAATAATTCAAAGACTATTCTGCACGTTAATGAATCTTGTTTTGACTCGTACGTGCATTTCTGTTTATATGTATGTTTGACATAGAAATATAAGTTTATTATGTTTATTTAGACAAGTGAATCTAATTTGTCCTCTTTCTCTAATCCATAATCTAATTTGTTTTTAATATCCTTTGGTTAAACATTAAAAGCACAAAAGTTAAGAAACGCGTATAGTTGGGTTCTTTTTCAGTGAACGTGCTTCTATATATACAGATAGCTCAGTTAATTGATAAAATAACTTTTCTACCATTTCTTCCATTGTCCTGTAATGTTGTTACATCATAACGTTTATAAGTATATTTATGCAAACAGTCAAGTTGAAAGTGATCTCTTATAAATTGAAATTACAAATTTCTTTTGATCTCTTTCAGCGTATCTATACATACATAAATACATGTAGTCTTTTATTTTTAATTGTTATTTGTGCCGATATTAATGTTGCTTCCTTTGCAGGAGGCTCATTTTAATATAAATTGGATGAAAATATAATTTGTTAACCTTTTTCTTTTGCAACCTGTATAGTTTATACATAAACTCTTGAGATTACATATGCATCAGAACTGATTGTCCAAAAAACTAGAAATAATACTTTTGTCGTATACTTAATATATTAAACGCCACTGTATTACTGATCAATGAAATGACTGATGAAATTATTGAAATCACCAGGATCCTGTCAAATTAAGTCGAAGGATGTACTTCATAGCTTGATGTTTATCAAAAGTATGGTTTTAACACAAAACCATTATCTCTGGATGCGTAACATCAATGTTTACATAAATTCCTGCTGGTGGAAAAGATGAATTATATATCGAAGCGAAAAATACATATACTAATCTCACATAAATTTAATCAGTTGGATGTTAATTACGTTAAATCTCCATTTTATGTTCCACAACGAATTTTATGGATAGCTGGGTCATGTAGCGCTAAGTTCTCGTCTTTCAAAAAATAACCTATTTTATCTGAATAAATACTGGGAAATGTCACGCTACGTGACACACTGAACACTTCTAATATCCTGGAGACGGCAAGTTTATTATCGGTGGTAAATAAAAATTAACTTTTAAGTATATTATACAAATTCCAAACAATTAAATTTATTTACGAGAAAATATATTGTCTACCCTCACCAAATTTTGAAATATGCTCGTAAGTAACTCGTTAGCCGGACAGGATATTAACTCACACATTTCTAGATATAAAACAAACCTTGGTAAATTTTGCAACCACAGAATCCGTTGTATAGTTCTTTTCTGATTACAATCTACAGTTAGAAATAGAGGCATTGTAGATTTCCCTACTGAAAAATAGGATATCGTCAATAGTTTCACAAAAATGCATATGTTTTGATTTAGATGTATTTTTCTTGTTCTTCCGTTTAGAGTTGCTTTGTTCTATACATTGTTGTTTTGTTTCTTTATACTTGCTAATATATAGAACTTGTAACCTTGTGTGATTTTCTTATTCTAAAAATGAATCGTGTAGTTTATTCTTGTTGATATAATTAGTATTCATACTTGAAACAGCTGTGCAAAAATTCTTTATTCATACTATGTCCTGTAATTTGATTGATAAACCATTTCATAATCTCAATGTCACTAGTATATAACTGCTAATGTGAACAAAAAAGCTGAATTCGAATATTTTCATGTTTAATACATTTCTTTGTTGTTTTTTTTCAGTGGTTTCTCTTTGATACAAAATGAAAATAGAACCCTCTTCTTATTAGGACCTAAACCTAAACTAAAAGAAACATTACATTATGCCTATTCTATCACAACATATCTGTTAATTAATAAAAATACTCACAAAAAATGTTGAATAATAGAATGATTCTTAATTGATGTAAGCTACATTACAGACTATTTCGTAGTTACAGAACAATGGAAAATAAGTATATTCATTTAGTGTATGTGAAATATTTTTAAGCCTATTAAATCTACAATAATTGAATACTGTATGTACATCTATTTTATTTTTAGTTCCGAATGTCATTGGTTAGTAATAATAGTACTAATATAAATGAACATCTGTTTCAAGTTATGCGAGTAAATGAATATTAAAAAAAGTAAATATTTGTAATATAACGTGAAGAAGGTTAAGTAATTAGAGAATGTAGTTGAATGATAAAAGTAGAATAAACTCATAGAACGGTATCAAAAAGGAAATGAAGTGTAAATTGAAACAAAAATCTTCACAGAATGAAGTCATATATAGGAATGTACGTATATGAGAAAGTCGGAGTATTTCGTTATTTTCGGTTATGTTAATTAATAATCAAAATTGAAGTCTATATTTCACATTGAACGTGATGTCTTAAAAAATAATCATGTCTGTCACGAAATTCCAATTTTGAAGGAGTAGTCATCATTGACCTGATAATTTATTTGTAATACGGGTTAAACTTAACAAAAGCATTAGTTGTCTTAAAAATGTAGAACAACAATCTAGTTTATGGTAAATGAGCATTAAAATTCTTGCAATTTATTTTATGACCCGGTTATCGAATTTAGTGTGAAGTCCATAATTTCCATTTGAAAGCACGATGCTATAATAAGAAGTACCATCATAAAGTCATGCACAGGTACGTATCACACAAACCATTTAATCTCAAAAATGTGCCATATTTAAAGAAATTAAGCGTTATTTGACTGAAGTGCTATATCTGTAAATTTCGCACTGTGAAATTTTATCAGAAATGCTGTCAAATAATTTAGGCTACTTATGAGTAGGTAAAGTCAATTGCTATTTATTACTCCAACTAATTCCGTAATCAGCATAAACTTTTCATCAAATGGTCGCATAATCGAATGAGAACATTTGAAAATTCCATCTGACGAAATGAAAGTTCCTTTTACTGAAGTTCAGATTCTTGTTATTCTGTTTGAGTTTTGATATTTGAATGTGGGATTTAGTGTCTAAGATACCTGTTTACTTGAAATCGTGAGTTTTAATACATTAAGCATAAAAATATTTTAAACTCAGCAACGATGAGATTAAATATATCTTTAAACAATAGAGTGATGATATAAATAATACATTTTTCAAGCAAATAATTAGTCAATAAGATCTATGGTATAGACAGTATGTTATCAATTACCGAGTGGCCAATTAATGTATTTTCAGTGTTATATATAGAAAACCTGTGGAATCGGAATAGAATGCTTTGATAAAAATACAGTAAATCAAATGAATATTCATATTCAAAAAAAAATTATTATTATTATTTACAAATTTTCAATTGTTGGTCAATTTAATTTGTAAACTGTATAGTAATCAGCATTTTCAATGCTACTTATGTAGTTATTCCCACATCTACTAGATATTAAGGTATGTTTTCGAAATCTATGCACTCAAAAAACTAAACAAAATTCATAGTCTTTTAAACCATATTTTCTAGTGAAAGATGAATGATCATATGAATAGAAATGTGTATTTTCAGTGGTATATTTCCCTTTAATAGTTCTGTCGATGCTCAAAAAATGTGGACAGATATTTGAGACAATAATAAATATTATTTAATAACCTACTTTAAGGTTTATTCTCAAGACTATTCAACTAACTTGGTTGGGTTTGCCGGTAATATTATTCACTGGTTATCTAAACCGCATTAATTATAGTGAAGTCTGTATTCGTGACCGTATGAACTGAAAGTTTATTGAAGTACATTTCTGATTTAATTTTGTATCATGCAAATAGGGATATATATATCATCAATATTTAAAGCGATTTATTCAATTTTAGTCATTATGAAGTTATATTGCAATACAGAATCCACTAGCAGTATTTTAGAAGTGTTGGATAAGATAGAAAATGATTGTGTATGGAACACTAATCTTATGTTTTGTATAGTAGAACATTTGTTACTAAAATGTAATCCAAATATACTTACTAACATACTTACGTCTGTTACGCCTCATTGAAGAGCATAGGCCATTCACCAACATACTACATCTGCCTCTGTCCCGGACAATCCTTTCCAGTTCTTCCCAGTTGCTATTCGTCTTTTTCATGTCTGTGTCTAATTTCCGACTCAAGGAGTTCTTTGGTCTTCCACTCTTCCTTTTCCAATCAGGATTCCAAGTTGGTACTTGTCTCATTATGCAGTTTGATGATTTCCTCAATATATACCCTATCCACTCCCAGCGTCTTTTCTTAATTTCTTATCCAGCTCAAAGCTAGTTTGTTCTCCTCTACAATAAGCTGGTACTGATGGTATCTAACCAACGGACACTGAGAATCTTGAGTAGACAAATGTTTATAAATACTTTTACCTTTTGGATGACGGTTTTGATAGTTCTCGAAGTTTCATCTGCGTACATTAGAACTGTCTCGACGTCGTTATTGAAGATTATGACTTTGATATTAGTTGGGAGCTTTTTTGACTTCCATATGTTCTACAACTGTAGGAATGTTGTTTTTGTCTTGCCAATCCATGCCTTGACGTCTACATCATGTCCTCCTTGTTCATCGATGATACTGTCCGGGCATGTGAAGGATTCCACATCTTCCAGAGTTTCTCCATAAAGTATGATTGGTTTTGTTGGTGTTCTCCGTGTTGTATACGAGGATGTTGCTTTTTCCCTTGAGTATGTTGAGGTGTACTGATGCAGAGGCTGCTGCTACACTGTTTGTCTTGATCTGCGTTTGTTGATATGTATGGAATAGCCTGGTTAAGTCATCTGATGTCTAAATCGTCTGGTTGTATCCAAGCTGTCCATTGTATTCCGTGCGTTCCGTCGGATGTGAAGGTTTTCATAATCCCGTTAATTACCAGAAGAGAGCGATAGAGCTATCAGCCTTGTCCAAAACCAGTCCTCACCTTGAAATGAGTCTGTCAGCTGTCCTCTATGCATAAATTTGCACAGATTCAGTGTGATGTTGATTATGCTTTCAGCTACTCACTCCATAGCGTTGAAGAAGGTTCCATAAGGTCCCACATCCACAGTGTCAAATGCTTTGTCATAGTCAAGGAAGTCGATGAATAGCGACGAGTTCCATTCAATTGATTGTTCAGTAATGATCCGTAGTGATGCGATTTGGTCTATGCATGATCGATCCTTAAGCGATCCAGCCTGTTAATCTGAATGTTAGGCGCCTACTGAATATTTCATCCGGCTCAGCAATATTCTTTTGCAAACCTTTGCTGGTGCCGATAGTAGTGTGATACCTTTGTAGTTCACACATCTCAAATCCAATTTCTTTGGTTTCTTGGTGTAGTATGCTTATTTCCAGTCTGTCTGTAGCACTTATTCTTCATCCCAGTTCTTTCTGGAGAGAATGTGGATCCTCTTTGCAGTCAACCTTGTGTTTAACTCCAGTACTTCAGTTGGTATGTTATCATGTCGTGCTGCTTTCCCACATTTGATTTGTCTGGTGGCCATCCAGATTTCTTCGGTTGTTGGTAGAGTGACATCTATGGGAATGTCTGTATGTGCTGCTTTGATATATGGTGGATTCAATGGGGCTGGCCAATTCAGGAGTTCGTCAAAGTGGCCTGCCCACCTGTTCCACTGTTCTTGGATCTCGGTTAATATCTTGCCTTCTTTGTCTTTGACTGGTCTCTCTGGTTTACTATATCTGCCTTCCAGTTTCTTCGTTGTGTCATGTTTCATACTTTCTTTCTCTTAAAGCTTTTTCCGCCGTCATTGCTAGCTCTTCCACGTATTCTTGCTCATCGGTTCTAATTCTTCTCTTCACTCGTTTGTTTGCTTCAATGTGATTCAGCTTGCGCCTTGACTTTCTCTGTTAATTGCTGTCTTTTTGTTCTTCCTTCCTTGAATCATGTCCAGGGTTTCTATAGTAATCCATTTCTTATGATGTTTCTTGTTGCGGCCCAGCACTCCCTGACACGTCGAAGTTAGAGATTCTTTGACTCCTTTCCAGTTGTCTTCCATAGTGGTTTTCTCTCCTTTTTGTAGATCTTATAAGGCTTGTAACATGTGGTTGAGAGTTATCTTGAATTCGTTGAGTTGGTCAGTTTTTCGAAGGGAGGCTGTATTAAACATTTTTAATGCCTTTTCTCCAGTTGTCCATTGCTTCCTCAGTTTCAGTTTCATATTGGCAACCACCAGGTAGCGATCTGAAGCTATATCAGCTCCTCTCCCTCATAGTTCTCACGTCTTCCATTGAATTTCTAAATTATTTAGTGATGTAAAAATTATCCAATTAGACCCACATAGCTTTGTGTATATGTCTGTGTGGGAATATTGCGCCCTCTGTGACCATTTTGTTGAAAGCACATAAATTTGCGAATCTGTCGCAATTTTCGTTCCCTTCTCCCAGTCAGTCCATTTCGTCCCATGATATCTCCATACTTCATGTTGCCCATCCCAACTTTGGCGGTTAGGTCTTCCTTCAGGATGGTCAGGTCCCTTCCTGAACACTATTCTACGATTGACTGCAGCCCCTCATAAAACTGATCCTCATCATCGTCTTCATAGCTATGATTGGTAGGTACATAGCACTCGATTATCCTCGCTGTGATCCCTTCCTATTTTGTTTTGAAGGATGCCTTGACGGTTCTGAATCCATGCAATTCCAATCCGATAAACACATTTCGTGCTTCTTTGGACATCATCGGGGCAAGTCCTGGAGTGTGTGGAGCATTTTATTCTTCGTGACCAGAGTACAGCAACATGTCTTCCGAACCTAACCCTTTCTGTTCAGTTTAGATCTGATGGGTTTCATTGATTGCGAGCACTGCTATGTTGTATC